TATATGCATATATTTTAAATTTGAATCCCTAATCCCATAAATATATCGATTAGAAATTGCAGTGCTATCTGTAAACGAAAGTCTGAACTGTAACTGTGAGCAAAAATTCTGTGTATGTTGGGGGATTCAGGAGAGAAATGCAGGAATGAGAAATAGAACACACACAATACAGTTTTTCTGAGGTAGCGGAATCTCCTACTTATGAAGGCGCTAATAACTTGCATTTGTATTCTCAATTTGCGATCTACACTGCTAAATAATATATGCATTTAAAGTTTGTTTTCATACTACTGTTTTTCGAGACAATTCCGAACAAATGCTGTAAATTTGGGTCCAAAAAAAAAGTTATAAAAAATCGGGACAGGAAATGAAAATTCTGGATGTATGGTCACCTTACTTAATGCATAAATTTATGTCCTAGCAAAATGAAATCCAAAGATCTGATCATTCACTGGAAGACTCAGGTGTTAGAAACACTTGTCAGCAGGCACCTGGGTTATAAAACCACATCCTGTGTTGAAAACGTTCAAAAATGCCATATCTTTTCTACCCTAACGTGATAAAGTTCGTAGTTAAGATAAAAATCTTGTGAAAGTGTGATGTTTGAGTCTTCAGATACAGCAGGCGTTGAAATAGTTCTCCTAAAGATGTCCGGTGGTATAAATGCAATTGCTACCGTTACCCTATACATGCAATAAGGCATATTATGTGCTACATGCTACCGTCAGAATGGCGAGAGCTTGACTGAGTTTAAAGGCATTGTCTCTGGAGGTACTTGGGTGCAGGGGGTGAAGCTACTGTCGTCTTGTCCAATGGTGAACCTGTAAAGGAAGTGCATCTACTTGCAAATCAAGCATTGGTCGGGGGGAGGGGTTAAAAAGAAATAACATTATGATCAGACACACAGAATTGGAGTAAGTTTATTTTGAAGTAAAAAGATCATGGAACGCAATAACATTCACTGGAAATGAATGAATAAGAACTGAACAAATTTAGAAGCAGCCTTTGGCCCTTACCACTGTGCAAATCCTCTTCCATTTCATTTTTACAGAGAAGATTCTCAGAATGTTGCCATTTAGCAACACGCAAGATTTTTTATTTTTCTAGTTTAAATCATCTTATTGTTCATTAATAAAGAAGCAATTTAAAAACCATTTTGCTTCTGCGTGAAAAAAAAGACTTTTGATTTATCTTCCTTGCACCCTTACACACTGCAATTATCAAAGTGCAGCCAACAAAAAGATTTTTAATTTATATTTCAAATTTAATCAAACTGTTATTAATTAATAAACTCGGCAATTTAAAAGCAATAAATATATATTTTGTAAATCTTCATTCTATTTTTTTCACAAACGTATCGAATTGATATGGTCTCAAATACATTTAATTTATACTCAAATGATAATTTTTAAGAAAATTCACAGTTTTGTTTTAATTAACAAATGCCTACATTAATAATAATTTATTACAATAATAATTTTTAATGCCTCAGAACCATTTTTTAACTTTGTAAAAGATATAGAACCAATTTTTTATACAAATACTTTGGGTAAAAAATTTATTTAACACAAAAGATTTGACTTTTGGCTGCCAATAAATTAATACCTAGATTTATAAATCATCATAACTGATCATCCAGATTGTGTACAAGAAAAAAGATAATTTCTGTATTGACTATTTCTCACCTGCACATACCAAACAAGTGCAATGGTGATGGGATCATTCAACCTGAAATCTCACTGAGTGAAAAAGAACTATTTTAAGCAATGAGTCCCACTTCAAACTGGGCCAAAGTGACCAGGAAAGATATGTCTAGAGACAATAGGGACACCAGTGGGGATATGACTTGACAGTTACACATCACACAATCCAACTGCAGGGAGTTAGGTTTTGGGTGCCACTTCATTTGATAATCAGGCCGCTTTGGTAGCTATGCACCGCACACTTACAGCACAATGATGTGACATATATTCTATGCCTTGTTGTGTTGCCTTTCCTTTCAAGGCACTCCAGCATCAACAGGTTAGTAATGCATGTTTTTGTGCTTGTCAAATAATTCTGTAACCAATTTATGAGAGATCCAAAAACAAACCAGTCTTATTGATTTATATGCTATGTGTAACTCCATCTCTTGAATAAAGCATTCAATTTTCCTGAAACTTTAACCATTTCTTGTCCCAGTAGCATCTTGAATTTCATCCCATTTACCAAATTTTGTTCCATTCAGACCACTTCTTGCATTTTTTAGGAGTGGATTGAGGTGTAATATACTTAACATTTTTAATTATTTACTTATAATTTCATAATTCATTATTCACTGTTTTATTTATTATACTTTATTTATTTTTAATCACCATTCCCTAGTGGCTTCCAAATATCTCCAACATTTTTAATTTTAGCAATTGAACTAAGGACATTAAGGATTAAACTAAGGATGCAGGAAGCAGACAATTATTTCCAGTACATATAAAAGTAGAGAAACAATCCATATTAAGTACCCAGAACAATTAACAAAATGTATATAAAATAAATTATTTGGCATAACAATAAAGTAGGTAAAATCCTGCCATTTAGAAATTAAGTTACATGATCTGGAAAGGAAAGAAGCTAACCTGCTGCAGGAATAAAGATCATAAAGTGATACATTTTTAAAAATTGTAGAATACCACTCAATGTCTTTTTAGTATTCCTACTTCAAAAAATAACAGCAGATCACTTTACAATCCATAAAAATTCAATATTGTGATTTTCTTTTGCCATCAAATTTTTTGCTGTTAAAATTCAAAACAATTACAGATGATTGTAAAAATCAACATAATGACTGTAAAAATCAAATGATTTTTAAATAGAATCAGTAAATTCTGCTTTAAGAATGAACTACATTGAAATATTTATTTTCTGATTTATCTAATGGTAGAAAGGACGAAATTTGGCATTGATTACTTTCCTCATTAAACCATCTGATGTGCTGAAAAACTATATCAACATTAACCCTTTGCGGCACGGTGAAACAAAATTTCCTTCGTACACACAGAAACAAAAACAAATGCGTACAAAATTTCCTTCTGTATGCACAGAAAATTTGAATAAAAAAAGGATTTATAGGTTACTCTGAACCTTCTTTATATAACTTTCTTTATTCTTTATTTATTCTTTTCTCTCTCTCTTTTAGGAGATGTTTGGTTATTAACTAACAAAATGTTGGGGTTATTTTCTGAAGGTCAACAGTAATTTTATTAGTTAGCTGTTTGGTTTTTCACTAGAGCAGTTCTCTTTTTCTCTTTCGCTTTCGTTCAAAGTTTCGCTAGCGCTACATTTAATAGTTTTGAGTTGAAGACGTTTAATTTTATTTTATAGTTTATAATTTCTAATCATGGATATAATATTAGTTTATTTTTTTTGCATTTTTTAATTATTTTCCAAATGGATCAGAGAGGGCTGGCCATTTCTGAAGCTACACAAATTGCTTTCAGATAGTGAATCTGATACGGATCCCGGTACATGTGCAAAACTTGCGATATTGGATTGTGCTTATTTAAAGGTGGTGTCACTTTCTTCGAAAAGTATCACCATGAAAAAATAGACTAAAGTATTAATATGAAATGTAAATAATGTAAATATCATATACCCAAGTTATTTTGTTTTCACATTCATACACATGTAATCATCATATAATCAAAAAAGAGCTTTTTAGAGAGGTGTAGAGAAGCAGGTCTCCCCATGGCACACCCTGGGTGATGCTAAATATGCTACGGTATTCAGAATCTAGTGTATTTTTAAATCGTAGGCAAAATCTCTTACTCTTTTACGTGCTTCCCAGCAATGCTCATTTCAGCACTCTTTCCGAAGCTCTATTCAATCAGTGTGCCTGCTTCGGGCACACCCACAGAATTAAAACGATAAGTGCTATCCTTCACAAAATTTTACTTACACAAAATTACACAAAACTGTACTCCTCTAGGCCTAATTAGACTGCCTACCCACTTTTTTTTTAATCGAAATTCCAACTTTAAAAGATAGCGTGCTGGAAAGAGTTAAATTAACAGCCTTCACTGAATTTTTTAAAAACCTGTTAGAAAAAATTGTTGAAAAACTCTCTGAGGAATCTATGTGCTGAATTTTACAATTTTCAGTTTCTCTGTCTGTGCATTACAAGATGTTCACATACAAGAATATATTTCTTTTATTATAATTAATTTAAGCTATGAGACAGCAAAAAATCTATATGTAGGATAAAAGAAAATTTAATACTCTTTTGCCTCTCTCTAATTTTTTCCGGTGCTCAAAATTAAAAACTTATCGTAAAATTAGGCAAAGCAACAACCTTGTGCTTGGTGCAGATTTTAACCCATTCCCTGCCATGATGCTAGATTTTAGGAGGATAGTTGTTAGAGGATATCTTGCTTTATCATCAGAACTCTCAGATGCAAAAAAGAGTGGAAGGAATTCTTTCACTAAAGCATCAATTAATCATGTCGCTACTGTTATCAGAACATCTGGTAATCATTATATTGAACAGACCGAAAATGGTAAACAAAGAAAATGTGCAGTGTGCAAAACAAATGCACGAAAACAATGTAAAAAATGTAATGTTAGATTACACGTAGACTGTTTTAAATGCTGGCATTAAAAGTAGATAGTATCAGCCATGATCCCCATTTGGAGATCGGACTTAAATTTAAAATTTCTGAAAAAAAATTGATGCATTTGTGAGAAAAACATGTTTTTCTTATTATTTAGATGTAAACTAAGAGAAATAAAATAAAAATTGATGAAATAAAAATTTGGCAGTTATTGGGGTAATCAAGATCGAGAATGAGATTTTGAGGGCAAATAGGTACGGATCTCTCTTCATCAGGAGCAAAGAAATTCTCTCTTGACAGCTAATGTTTGTTACTTAATTCTTTGCTTATATTTTATATCTATTTCCTTTTTTACATGCTGAAACAGAATTTGAAATGAGTTCCAATTTACTTCATTTCTGCACTTATATAAATTACCTGGCAACTCTAAGATTTCTAGTCTTTCTCCCGAGTCATCTTCACCAACAAATTTTAGACCTGCTCTTTCCATATCAGGAACATATGCTTTATCTACCTCATATCTGTGCCTGTGTCTTTCTTCAATAAAATCCTTTCTGCCATACAGTTGCCCTAAAATAGTGAAATGTTAATGCAATATTAAAAAACACTACAAAATATTTAAAATCTATTAGAATATCTATACAGAATCTATATTTTTTATTTCTAGAATTTCTATTCTTTTATCTAGAAATAAAGTTTTAGCATGTTTACTTCACATCCAAATATGTGAAACAGATACTCACATAAAACAGAATCAGTTGTCTTGAACATTGTGACCTTCTTTCCAAGCCTCATAGTGCCACCCATAATGCCAGTGTGGTGCTCCTCCATTTCAATAACCTGAAGAGAATCAAAATAAGCTTTTTAAGCTATGATAAACAAAAGAAATCTTATCTTAAATGTTATTTGATATTTGAAGCAAGTAAAAACCTGAATTTCTTCAAAAGCAAACATTGAAATTTTGTTTCATTCTAAAATTTCAAACATGATTGTAACTATAAAAGTGTAAAAACCTGTACTTCATATAATTTGATACACTGGATAATTGATTTTAAAAAGGGATATAATTGCTTTCCAGTTAGAAACAGAAAATTTGCGAAAAGTCTTCATAGAACGAAATGAGTAAAAGAAACACGAAAATGAGTAAAAACGGACAAACATACAAAGGAAAAAAACACTAAGCAAATATTTAATTACAATATTTAACTTCTTATAATCCCTTAAGCAGCATGAATAGCTTCATCCAATCACAAGAATTTTTGTCATTTAGTATATTATTATTTATAATATTATATCGTCTTATTTACTTTCCTGATTTAAATGCTATCTGAATAAATGAGTCTTTGAAAATAATTCATAAAATTTATTATATCTGATTTTTTTTTTTTTTTTTTTTACAGGCCTATTAAAAAACATTAATTAAATAGAAAAATGGATGGGATAAAAAAATTTGCACTTAATAAATGAAGGTTCATTATAAATAATGTTTGGTAGAGCAGGATTTGACAACATATTCAATCCAGTTTAAGTGAAAAGAATAAGCACTGATTATCTTTTACTTTTTAATGCTCACAGATGAGAATTGTTCAATGAGGATCAGCTTTACTAACCACTGCGAGAAATTTGTTGCTGATAGCTCTCCTACAAGATTTCACTTGACTTCCGCACATTTTACTTTTGCACAATTCACTATTTTGCAGATTTCAGTTCCTTAAAGATTTTTATCAATATTGCAAAACCTGTTTTGCTTCCATGGAGTCATTCTCAGAAAGCATGGTAGCTTCTAACCACTTACATATTACCTTCTACAGTAGCAGACTGCTCGGAATTCATGACATTATAAATGAAAGGAGAAGAATATGCTTTCTTATTACATCCATGTCGGAATCACTGTGACATCAATAGGGTTCTGCATGATGGGCCAAATATATACAATGTATTAAACAGGCTTGGTCTTCCATTAGGGCATATATTAATGCATTGTGTCTTGTGCCAAATTATTTGCTTATGTTTAAACATTTTGTCCTTACAAATTTTTAACATGAGTGAGAAATGGAGAAACTGCAATGTTGATATAAACAGAAGATATTAAAGACTCCTGAACTTCAAAAGATCGAGAATAAAGATGAAAATAATTAGATGTTCTGAAAGCAGTGAATCTTTTGCTTTAATCGGCTATCTGTACTTAAACGGCTATTTGTAATCTTTTTCTTTAATCACCTATTTGTACACAGGTCTACAGTATGTTCACTTTCGATAAAAAAGAATAAAATTAAGGAGTACGTTCAAAACTGGGAAGCTATATCTTTAAAGACTGTTTCCAAAAGACATGGCATAGTGATGAATAAAATGGATAGATTTTTGTCGTCATGGATTGATGATCAGATCATTAAACATCAAACTAGTGTCCCTCTGAGCTCCTCAATAACAAACTAAGGCTCTTAGTTTGCATGAAGACTGGAAGACTAGATTAAAAGAAGATTCTAACATAATGCTTCAAAAAAAGTAATGGCTGATTGAATAAATTTAAAATGCGGTATTCTTTACATAATATTAATTCACTGGAGAATTGGCTGACACAGAAAAAGATGCTGCAGAAGGATTTATTTCCTCACTGGCCAAAATTATTGTAGATGGAGAATTCTCCTAAGCAAATATTCAATGTAGATGGGATTATTTTACGAAAAAATGCCTAAGTGTACATTATTATCAAACAGAGCATCAGTTGCCCTTGGACATAAACTTCCTAAAACCAACTGATATTGCTTCTTGGTGAAAATTTAGCTGAAGATTTAAAATTGAAGCCAGTCTTAGTTCATCAAGCAGAAAATCTCAAAGCATTGAAAGGGAAAGATAAAAAAATTATTTTTAATGATTTGGAAAGTAAATAAAAATGCCTGGGTTACTGTGTTAATGTTTAAAGATTGGTACACTTTTCGTTTCATAATAGCAGTTAAACAACATTGTAAAGAAAAAAATTTACAATTTAAAGCCTTATTATCTTAGATAATACCACAGACATCTAAAATCTCTACAGAATTCATCATGGAAATTAATGTAGTATTCTTTGTCCCAGTACTACCTGCCTCTCAGAGCCCATGGATCAAACAGTGATAACTCTGTTTAAGAGATATTACACGAGCACAATAATGAATCAGTCTAATATGGCAACTAACTTGCAAAGAAAGTAAGCCTACAATAAGAGATTACTTAGTACTTAGCCTACTTAGTTTTAGTTTACTTTTGCATTTTCTATTTCAAGTCAAAAGTGTTGGCTTCCTATATGCCCAAAAGGGGCCATCTGCGAATATCCTTGGGTTCAAATAAAAGGGTATTTTAACTTTTTTTTAGACTTATTTATGTAACAAAAATTTAGCAAATAGTTACTACTCATTCCTACTAGATTCTAGCAGTTAAAAGAGCTTTAACTCTACAAACTCTTGAAAATTTTACAATGAAAACACCTGAAAGAGCTTAAATATGCTTCATCAACTTAATTATGTACATTAATAAATATTATTCATCAAAAAATATTTTCAAATACAATAATTATTTCTTTTAAACATCTCTTTACTTTTACACATTCAACATTATGCACATTTTCAAAAATCAATTATGTGTGAAAGTCAAGGACTCCTGTACTGATATACAAGGTATCAAGAACATCCTTTTGCTTTTGATGTCTTATTTGCTGAAGTGCTTACAAATAAGAAATTAAGTGAGGGCAAGAAAAGCAATTGATGGTTAGTGTGACTACTGACTAGCAATAATACAGGTATGTTGTGTACACATAACAATCACAGCTCATCCAGCATTGGAGAGAAATGTTGGTATCGAAGCAGCTCATTTATGATTGTTTACTGTATGACTCAGGCCTGTAGGCAACCACATCAAGATCAAGTCATGAAATATGCCAGGAATTTTTGAAGGATACCATGAATGAACAAACTGCTCGGCATTGGTTCCAGAAGTTCAGGTCGAGAGACACGAGCTTTTGTGATGTACCCAGCAGCTGCAAGCCTACAGGGTTTTGTTATCCAACCCAGTGTTAGATAACAAAACCCTGAAGGGAGCCATAGAGGAGGGAAGATAAGAGTCAAACATATAGTGAACTTGCCAAACACTTCCAAATTTCTAAGAAACCTATCAGACTTCAGCTTCACCACTTAAAGAAAGTATATAAGTTGAGCAATTGGATCCTAATCTAACAAGAAAAAACAAGTTACAGTCTGCTCATCCTTCATCTTGACATTGCAACACACTCCTATTTGGTCAAGTGTTCATAAATGATGAAAAGTGGATCTAGTGTATTCCAAGCATACCAGACATTTTTGTTGTCACAACATGACCCCATACCACATAACTGAAGACTGCGGTACGTCTTGAGTAGTAATCACAAAGCAGTGTATTACAAGCTATTTCCAGCAAGCCATCCTGAAAACTACATCATCATAACCAATCTGAAATTACAGCAGTTGGAAGTTGCAGCATACGAAGCCAGCATTAATTGCAAAAGAATGTTGCACTTCCATGACAATGTGAGACCTAACGTGGGAAGAATGACAAGGGATATCATTCAGCAACTTGGCAGTACACACTCTCAGACTTCTTTGTGTCCAATATCTTAAAAGTTTTATCACCAGGGCGTTATGCAACTACAGGGACATTGGCAAAAGGTGCTGATTGCAAAACAAAAATTACTTTGAGACCTAAATACTGAGTGCCCAGCACCATATGGCTGTCTGTTCTTCATGATCCCTAAATGGCAATGCAAGTGTTTTGCTTCCATGAAAACAGGAAACTACATTTTTTGCAGAAATTTAGTTTAGATAACACGCTGAATAACAACAAAAAAGAGAGCAAAATTACTATCACATATAAACAGCAACCAGGGATACCATTCAACAACTTGCCCGAGGGGCATGGTACCATCCATTATGCTTGATGAATTAAAACTCATAAATTACCAATTGTTCCATTCCCTGCACATCTACCTCCACAGAAAATCCTTTGATAATGAGGCAGACCTGCAGCACATACTCACAGACTCCTTTGTGACTAACCCCCCCTCCCCCGCGAATTTGATCACTAGGATACTGTGCAGCTCTAAGAACATTGACAAAGGATGTTGGATGCTGATGGAGATTATGTCACACTTAACGCTGAGTAAGTTGTGCTCAATGCCTGTTCTTGACAAGCGTGAACAGCAACTTTTGTTTACTTTGTAAAATCTCATCTCTATATACCATTTAAAGAACCACCCTGAAAGTTAACCTAAGTATGGAAAATATGACATGGTAGTTTGACATCAATTCCATTCCCACCACGATTTAAAATTTATAACTTCACAGGATTGGATTTTGATAAAAGATATTAGCTCTACCTGCTAAAGGAAAGAGATGGCTTTGTATATTTTCTATGGGAAAACTAGTTTATATGCATACTACATGTAGGAAAACAACAAACTCTCATGCAGCCAGCCTGTTCACCAGGATTTGAACCTAGGTCAAACTACTAGTATTCAGTGGTCTTACTGTTTGGGTACTGCTGAGCTTGTCTTCATAGGATGCTGATATCAATGAAAAAAATTCTTGCAACTATCAAGACCAATCTAGTTCCAGTGCTATTTATATTACTTCAAAAGTGCAGCTCTTGATGGTGAAATGAGACATGCATGCACAGCCTTATATGCACAATAAATCTTATTATGTATATCTTCATCAGATGTAACAATTTTTAGCAATTTACTGTCATTTTTTTGTGGCCACTGTCAATTTACAATGAATATTTTACTGTCATAATATGGTCCTCTGATATGTCTCTCAATCTGTAACTGTATGATCTTATCTTAACCTAAAAAATGCTTTCTTGTTTCTCTAAGCAAGCATTTCTTGGTCAAGGTTCACAAGAGGCCTAGTAGTAGAAAAGTAATCAATGATGAATAGGTTTAATCAGAGATACATTTGAGTCACTTTTGAATTTCATATTCATAGCTTAACTAATTTATCATTATTTACTAAATTTGACTATTACTGCAACTCTGTATTTTAAGGTACAAATACCCTTGCCCTTAAGGTTTATTCTGTGCTTTAGATTCATTTTGTCAGATTATATTGCAGTGACGGCATAATTTTTATCATTTCCATGCATTGCAAGTCATTTGCACTCGACAAATTTTCAAGATCACTGAATATTTTACATACAGGACATAATAATATATTCATGTAGTAGTTTCGAAAAATATAAAGTCTACCAGTGGCTGACTGATAAAGACCATTGAATATTGCTAATGTGGGTTCGAACCCAGGAAAACAGGCTGGCTGTATAGTTGATTTTCATAGTTTTCCCAAAAAGCAATGTGAATATGAGCATCTATCACAAAAGCATACCTTCCCTTAAGCAGACATCTCTTGTGTGCTTTGCCATGTTCAGATAATCTAATCTAACCAAAGATATGAATATTGCATTAAATATTCTGCAAGAGAAAAATGAAAAACATTACTTTATTTCCCTAATTTAAAGAAGATATTTTCGAGTAAACATATAGTGTTTTAGATATAATTGACTGAATTTTCTGGATTCTATTCTTTCCTTTGCTTGCCTTTATTAATTACTTTTATTTATATACTTTCTTAACATATGCAAAAACATGATAATCAAAAGATAGCTTAAATGAGGACAAATTTGAACAACAATTATCAGGGTTTTAAACTAACTCTTAAGCTTCACACTTTAAAGTACACAGAGCTTTTTAAACCTAACTGCCTAAACATGTTAATTAGCAATTTTGTCAGATATAGTGTACAATTCTTACTTTTCCCTTAATGAATTGTTTTCCACTCAATATTAAATTGGTATTTATTTGAAAAAAGTTAGTATAATTAATTTTCCTTCTTAGTAGCACAGCTAAGCAAAATTTCTAAACTTCTTATTTCAATAATTTGAAATATCAATAGCATTAAGTCAAAGAAGGTGATAATTAAAAGCCTTATAAATAATCTTTTTTTGTGAAACACAGTAATAACAAAAACAAGCTTATTAATTATAACAAACAAATAAGAAAACTATGGACTAGTAATACTTCAAAAACAATTTAGCTTTAGTTAGTCATATATAGTTTGATAATTAAATACTGACAACCTCTTGGTCTAATTCTGCAAAACGCTAAAGTTGCATTTATATTAAGAAAACTATTTCCACAAACAGAAAGCTTACTTAAAATTACACAGATTTTAAATTTTGAAAATACAGATGTCAAATAACAAAAGGTTTAAAAATATAAGTAATTTTTTTTAATAAAAGTTATCTTAAGTATACATTATTAAGCTTTTTTGGAACAATGCAAGAATTTAATAAATATTTAACAAATAAAAGCAAGAAAATTTAACCCTCTGAGCGCCATGGCCGGTTTTATGCGGTAATGAGATATTTTGTCACTTGGTACTATTACCTCATAATTTACGGTGTTTTGATTTCTCACTTTCTTTAATAATATGTCACCTTAATAAATGAAAGTTTATGAAAGTAGAGCCTAAAATAAGTAAATATACAAATTTAGCTAGTAAAGGCTCTTTAACCTTTTAACTGTCATGCCTGAAATAATCTCGGGCACAGCACTGGTATTCCAAAATGTCATGCCCGAATATTACTCGGGCTACTTTTTTTTTTTTTTTTTTTGTGTGTGTGTGTGTGCATTGTATTGTTATATCCGAATATATATCGTGAGAAGTTTATTTCGGCTTCAGTTCAACAGATGGCAGCATTTTACTGAAGGTTTCAAAGGATAGAGGTTTAAAGTTCAAAGTGTGCGGCACGTTTTTGATTTTTTGACTGCTAGGTAAATATTTCATTTTTGAAAATAAAAAAATTGACAATTTATGCACCCAAACCATCAAAATAACTTGACAGTTAAAAGGTTAATACATATCTGCATGACAGATCCAAAAGCCCAAGCCACTTTATTTAATGATAACTAAAATCTTGGTTTCATGCAACTTACTACATTCCTCTTCGTTTTGTCTCCAGTTGTTTCTATAGTATGAGCATCTTCCCATCCTAGAACATTTCGAGCAAATTCTACAACTGCCAACTGAAAACCAAGGCATATACCTACAAAAGAAATAGATGTTTATTGCTAATGAAATGCATATAATATTGCTATGCATAAATTATTTTATTTAAACAATTTAGTGTTAGTCCCACATGTAGTATGCTTAATTAAAAATATAATACATTAAATACATATCTCCATAATAGTTAATTTAATCTGTATAGTCGATGTCACCTCTGAAGAAACAAAATGATTTTAAATTATCAGTCGCAAAATGATGGAAGAGAAGTTTTTCTCTACCAGAAACTTAATAGACTTCTTCATAATTCCTACAGTGAGATTATAATGCAATAAAGAACACAAATCTTATGACTTAGAGTGATTTCATTCAGATGCTTTCGAGATTGTGAATGATTATGGTTTCTTATCCTCCTCCTCGAGAAAACTGTTTGAACTCCACGAAGCTTAAGGTTTTGGTTTTCTTAGATCTTGACTTGCACGTCAATACAAAATTAAATGAATTTTAAATAAATTTGTATTATAGCCCAAAAGAAATGATTGCAATCTTATCCAGATCTGTGACCCTATGTCTTTGACAGATAGAACAAGTTAGTGTATTTTTGAACAAGTTAGTGTATTATTCCCCCCCCAATATAGAAGTTGAAATACATACCATTCATTTTGACAGTAATATCACAGCTATTTTTATTGCCCTTCAATAGCTGCATATTGTCAATACAAATTATTTAAGCTGTGTTCTTCTCAAGTACACAGGGTTGCCACTCAAACAGGAGAATGAAATTCCCTAACTTTTCCAGGTTTTCCAGGTATGTTTCGAGAAAATTCCAGTCTATCCGCGTAATGTACGTTGGCTGTGCTAAGAGGTAAATTAATTATGGTATTACTTGTATTGTGTAGCAAATTCACTTAATTATTCCATAAATCCCAGAGGACATTTATTCTTAATTATTCTTGGTACACTTGTTTGATAATTTGTGTTACTTTTTCTGCTTAAAAAACTTAATAAAATTTAAGATATATACATTGTATAACAATTGTACGTTTTATTTAATTATTACTCATGATCATCACCAGTTCAACATGAGGCTAATCCGGTTCTTATTAATCACAACGCAATGCTAAAAGTTAGGTTACATTTTAGGTAAAATTAATTTGTGCGAGGTGTATTCTTAAAAGGCAGCTTAACACTTGAAAACACAAATATGATTATAATAGGAGTTGTTTTCTCCACTGCAGATTTAGAATCTGCACAATCTGGAATAACATAAGGCTTTTTTTGCAGACATTCTGCAGCTAAACGAAAGAAAGAAATCTATTTAATGATACTAAATTTTTTTACTAAATTGAGGTATTTTATATTTATTTCACAGCATACATAAGGAAAAATATGTGCACTAAATTTCGTGATGTCATCATACTGCTAGAATTAATTTCAGGATTATGTCAGAGAAAATTTCCTGAAATTTGGAAATATTATTTACTAATGATACATAAATTTAGAGGAAGAAGCAACATTAAATGATATGAATAACATAAAATAAAGATAATTACTTAAAAATTTAATAGAATAATCAACGATATTTTAGCAAATATAGTTATATTACATGGTTATCCTAGATGATTGATTACTATCTTTTTGTTTTACTGCAAAATGACAAGGTATTTATTAAAAAGGAAAAAAAAAAAAAAATTGCGGTAAAATCCTAGTATACGAACGATACGGCCTTCGCATGATTTTGAAAATTGTCGCCAAGAACAAAATGACCCGTTTCCTGCTCATCATCATGTCGCCAAATCCCGCTCTAGCATACATGGAGATTATTCTGACCAAAGAACGTCTATGTAAAAAGCGGAGGGAAAATTTTCCAAGGGATTTGACGACGGAACGGCCAGAATTTCCCTCTCCGCGATGTGTACAGGAAATTGAGAAACACGTATTAAGAAGAAACGTTCTTTGACAAAAAAGAAAACTACGAAAATCCGTTTTAAATTATTGCGAAAAATCCAGAAGAAACGTTTTTATCAAAGAACGTTTTTCTTGGATTTTTCACAATAATTTTAAAAACGGATTTTCGTAGATATTCCCCCCCTTAAAATAAGTATCCATGAATTAATTTACTTGCGCCAAAAAATATTTTCTTTTCCTATAAAGACATTTTAAACGATATTCATTTTATGAACTCTTGATAACGTGACCTTCGAACTTCGACACCGGTTTCGAGCTTGGCGACAGATATATCGCGCAGGCACAGCTCTTTTCCCTCTATGATGAACGAGCCCAGTCTGTTGCAGAGAGGTTTTCCTTCTTTACAACACATATTTTTTTATTCTAACCTTCATGGTACCGTATACTAGGATTAAACCCATTTTGTTTTATCGAGAACAGGTACTTTCTTTAGTTCATGCACCTGCACATGCGATTCTCGAGGTTACTGGAAACCAAAAGTTGCGGGAAACTTACTTTGCCTTTCTAAAAAGACAATCAAATTGGAGTGCGAAAATTGGCCTCTATGCCAGCTGCCCGAATGACACTCACGTGATACTCAATTCGCCAAAAAAGTGATCTCTTCCGACGTCGGCGCAAAACTCGCCTTTATGGCGGGATCGTTATAAATTCCCTGACTTTTCCAGATTTTGACTAAAACACTTAAATTCCCTGACTTTTCCCTGAATTTTTTGGTCAATTTCCGAATTCCCTGACTTTTTCCAGTTTTCCAGGTAGCGTGGCAACCCTGAGTACAGGATTTGCTCTCCAAGCCATTTCTAATTATAAGCCTACTTTTAGCCCTCAAATGTTTAACTATATGATTATTTTAAAGCAAGTGTATGATAAGGTAGTATTAGAATGATCCCTGCCTGATGTATGTACAGAAACAAAATGGCTGATTTCATCAAAAAAAAAAATGTCTGCTAACATTTTTTAAAGAACTAGCCATCCTATCCCTTAATTCGACTAGACTTCTTGTGCAAGGAAATATCATGGTGATGGAGAAGAGCTTTCGACTTCTGTTGATGAGAAGAGATAGAGCCTATTTCTAAGAAAGATACTGTTGTGGACCATATACATTCTGCCGCAACAGCTTATTCAAAACTTTTGACAGAATATGATCATATACTTTCTCATTTACTATGTTTTAACTTCGTTGATTCTTCTGATACTGAACATTTAGACATGAGCAGTACATTTCAGAAGTAAAGGGACACTACCCAAAATTATCAAAGAGCTCAAAAGCTAATCGCATTAAAGGCAAGACTTTGTAAACAATATTTTATATTGTTTACAAAACAATATAAAATATATGTTTTGTCATGTCACACTGGAGAATGAAGACTGAAGTAATTAAAACGCATCGATATCCTTATTATTTGATCATTTCTTTTTTACACTCTACTGCTTTTGCAGTAGCAACCAACAAGTGAGTTATTATTCCATGCATATTTTGCTTCCAAAATTGATATTTTGCTTCCAAAAATACAAAAGAAATTACAGCTATATGAAAAATAATACTGGTATTTATGAACCAGTCCAAGATCTATGAAGTGTGTTTTAGATGCTTTCAAAAGAAATAAAACTGATATAATCTGGATATTGAAAGATACAATTAAGTTAAAATTAAATTAAATGCAGCAATACTGAGAAAATTAAACAGAGCAATGAAGATATAAATTTATTTCAATCAATACATTTAATAAAAACTCTCAAACTTTTGGAAATGTTTTCAAAATGAATTATTTTCAGAAACATCAGCTCAGAGGAACGTTTTATATAGAGCATCAACATCTAAAAGGGTTAACTATAAAGCTATTACAATAAGAAGAATCAAATGAAGTCACATATTACAACTGCAGCAGTAGTAAGAACAGATAATATTTCTCTTTAGCAAAATACAAATTCAGGGTTCCTACCGAAATTCAACTTTAATTTCCCTGATTATCCCTGAATTTCCATGATCAAGTGAAACTATTTCCTTCACCAAATATAATAAATTAGTAACCAAATTAAGTATAAATAACTGAATGATTTTATATGTTTACAAAATACCATGCAAGAACTAAGAACAAAAGTATAAAAATTTAACTTACTAACTACTGCAAAGTAAATAAAACAAATATAGAAAACATCTAAAATATTCGAAAAGTAGACAAGAGTTAAAAAGAAATATCAAACTCTGAGAAAAGTTGTTCATTCTGCAAAAGGAATTTTGTTATAACACACAATCAAGCAATATCGTTGCATGCATACGGGTTCATAATAGATTGAATGCATGCGTCCAATAATGTGCTAATAAAATTTATTTTTATCAAAAGAAATATTTTAGAATGCTGGAATTTTCTACAGAAATATTCATACAAGTGTGCACAGTACCACACAGTACTAAAAATGTTAAACACAATGCAATGCAAAGTGCATCTAAAGAGAAAGCTGACTCGTATATCTCAGTTCATGCAGGACTAAGCAACTTGCAATAACAATATCTAAGCAACTGAGAGCTGATGCTCTCTCTTCAGCCTTAAATAGTTTTCAACTGGCCACGAGATGTTTCTTGTACTGTCTGTTACTGGAAAGCAATATGAAAGTAGAATTACGGTTACAGCTAACAAAGTGGTGTGTTACATTTATTCACTTACAAAACTTATTTCAGTGACACAGGGACTGGATCAAAATGTCGCAAAATTTGGCGACAAAATAAGTCGCCAAAACCATGGTCAGCTTGGCAATATCTCATCAAATTACTAGATACCCATATACTCAAATGAAGACTTGTATTAAGAGCCTTTATTATATGTATATTTACCTATTTTAGTCTATATTTTCAAAAACTTGCATTCATCAAAATGGCATTTATATCATTAATGAAAGTAAGAAAGCAAAATATCTTAAATTATATGCTAATATATTATACTAAATAAGGAACTTGCATCTAATATTGCATTTGCATTATTCTAAAACTCAATATTCAAATGAAATTTTGCTTACTTGTGCGAAGCAGCATTGATTCTCACATTCTGTCATTTTATACAAATTTTATTGACGACACAAATAAATACAATTATAATAAAGAAACACATATGAATTTAGTTTGATTTTTGCAACTTAATGTACTTTCGTTTTATATCTCTCGCAGTCAGCAATGTTCTAAACTACTCAAAAGAATTCAGGCGCACACAGCACCATCTGGTGCAATACAGTTTCTACAAGTGACAAAAAATCTCATGACTAGATAAAGCCGGTCATGGCGCACAGAGAGTTAAATTTGTCTTGCACTACATTACACAGAAAAGTACAGGTGCTCAGAGGGTTTAAATTTGTCTTGAAAAACATTACATAGAATTAGGTCACTTTGCAGAATTATAAATTTTATTTATAAATTTATTTTTAATTTAATTTTATTTATAATTCTACAAAATTTTTAATTACAAACCAAAAACTACAAAAATTACCTAACCTAAGTACAAAATTCGTAACAATACAAAGACTTCTCAGCTGCATTATTAGCTTTTGAATGGAAATTTCACTTCTAAAAAGAAGGGTGAAGAACAGCTGACTAACAAATGAAGAAAATAACTATGATTTGATAAAACTGTGTTTAAATACGAGATGGGTATATCAATTCTCCATTTGTTCTTTTTTCAAGAACTGTAATTTTTGTTAACAGTTTAAAAATCAAACTTTTTTATTATTTGAGTGGATCAATCTGTACATTTTAATTATATTTTTCCTAATCATTTTTCATCTCTATGACTTTCCAAGGTGAGAGAAAACACTATTGAACTTTTAAGATGATTTATTCTTCTGGAGCTTATTTTACTATAAACAGGGTTGCCACTCAAACAGGAGAATGAAATTCCCTGACTTTTCCAGGTTTTCCAGGTATGTTTCGAGAAAATTCCAGTCTATCCGCCGTAATGTACGTTGGCTGTGCTAAGGGGAAATTAATTATGGTTACTGTATTGTGTAGAAATCACTTAATTATTCCATAAATCCCAGCAGGCATTATCTTAATTATTCTTGGTACACTTTGTTTGATAATTTTGTTTACTTTTCCACTTAAGAAACTTAATAAAATTTAAAATATATACATTGGATAACAAATGTGTGTTTTATTTATTTATTACTCATGATCATCACCAGTTCAACACAAGGCTAATCCGGTTCTTATAAATCACAACGCAATGCTAAATAGTTAAGTTAGATTTTAGGTAAATTTAATTTGTGTGAGGTGTCTTTTTAAAAGGCACCTTAACACTTGAAAACACAAATATAAGTATAATAGGAGTTGTTTTCTCCACAAGATTGACATAGAATCTGCCCATCTGGAATAAAATAAGGCTTTTTTTGCAGACATTCTGCAGCTAAACGAAAGAAAGAAATCTATTTAATGTTATTTTTTTAATAAATGAGGTATTTATATTTATTCGCAGCATCCATAAGGAAAAAATAAGTGCATTAAATTTCGTGATGCATGTCATCATACTGTAGAATAATTTCAGGATTGTGCCAGAAAAATTCCTAAAATTTGGAATATTATTTACTAATGATAAATAAATTTAAGGGAAGAAGCAACATTAAATGATATGAATAACATAAAAATAATTACTTAAAATTGAATTAGAATAATCACGATATTTTAGCAAATATAGTTATATTACATGGATAGCCTAGATGACTGATTACTATTTTTTTATTTTACTGCAAAATGACAAGGTATTTATCAAAAGGAAAAAAAAAAAAAAAGGTTTAAAAAGATTTTGCGGTAAAATCCTAGTATCATGGCCTTCGCACGATTTTGAAAATTGTCGCCAAGAACAAAATGAGTCGTTTACTGCTCATCATCATGTCGCCAAATCCCACTGTACCATACATGGAGATTATTCTAACCAAAGAACGTCTATGTAAAGTAGAAAAAGTTTCATACACGTAAATGCTATTACGCCGCTAGAAAGCAGAGGAAAATTTGGCCAGGGATTGGCGACGTAACCTGGCGGCCAGGAATTTCCTCTCCGCGATGTGTAAGGAAATTGAGAAACATGTGCTAAGAAGAAACGTTCTTTGACAAAAAAGAAAACTACGAAAATGCCTTTTTAAATTATTGCAAAAATTCCAAGAAGAAATGTTTTATCAAAGAACGTTTTTTCTTGGATTTTTCGCAAAAATTTTAGAAACGGATTTTCGTAGTTTTTTTTTTTTTTTTTCCCCCCCGCCAAAAAATATTTCCTTTTCCTTTAGAGTTTAAAGAAATTTTAAACGATATTCATTTTATGAACTCTTGATAACGTGACCTTCGAACTTCGACACCGTCGAGCTTTGGCGACAGATATATCAGACATGCACAGCTGTTTCCCTCTATGATGGAATGGAGCCACGTCTGTTGCAGAGAGGTTTTCCTTCTTTACAATACATATTCTTTGATTCTAACCTTCATGTAACGTATACTAGGATTAAACCCATTTGTTTTATACGAGAACAGGTACTTCTTTAGTTCATGCACCGCACATGCGATTCTTGAGGTTACTGGAAACCAAACGTTGCAGAAAACTTGCTTTCCCTTTCTAAAAGACAATCAAATTGGAGCTGCGAAAATTGGCTCTATGCCAGCTGCCCGAATGACACTCACCTGATACACAATTCACCAAAAAAGTGATCTCTTCCGACGTCGGCGCAAAACTCGCCTTTTTTGGTGGGATCCTTGTATGAAATTCTCTGACTTTTCCAGATTTTGACTAAAGCACTTAAATTCCTTGACTTTTCCCTGAATTTTTTGGTCAATTTCCGAATTCCATGAATTTTTCCGGTTTTCCAGGTAGCGTGGCAACCCTGTATAAAAGTGTTTTTTTTTTTTTTTTTTTTTTTTAATTTTTATTTTATGCATTAAGGCTTCATAATAAATTAACAGGTATAGTCAAACCTTCATTAAACAAACTCATTTAGTGAACACTTTTTCTAAACCTGCTAAGTGACATGAGTGCCTTTACCTGCATATGAGTTTTTTGTCATTTAATGTACATAACTTTATTATTTAAAATATTTTGTTTTTACTTTCCTTAATAATTTAAATATTATCTTAATGAATGAAAATTTATGAAAATATAATAATTAATTATACAAATTTAGCGAACAAATTCTGTTTAAATATAATTTTTCATGAGCAGATTCAAAAAGAGTGCCACTCAGAAAGTTAAAATATAATTCCTGATGCCTAAAGACCCTTGAACAGGAGAATAATGCACTCCTAATTAAAGGGAAAAAGCCTCGATTCTCACAAGTATCCACAAATATTGCATTTCAACTGCATTTATTCTATATTATATACATAATATATTACTTATAATTTACAAAACAAATTTTTGAATTTGTGCTTCTCTTTTTCAACTTAAAACACTCTAAAGAATCTTCTCCCTACTAAAGATGTTAAACATGCTAAATTTATGACCTCAAAACAGGAGATGACCATAAAGTTTTTAACGCCTTTTTAAAAAAATCAATAATACTTAAATTTTTTATACAGATAAGTTAGCAGTTTAAAGTATACAACTCAATTAGAAAAACTTAACCAAAGTCTGCTGTTTCAAGCGGTATTACATTCTAAACATCTTGGAACATGCTGTAGTAGGTTAACATACATTCAGAAATACAAAAGACCCAAAAACTGAGAACAGTTAAGAAAAAATGTAAATTTACCTAAAAATGGCTTTTTGCTTTCTCTTGCCCATTTTATAGCAGAAATTTTCCCTTCAATACCATTGGTACCAAATCCTCCAGGAACAATTATGCCACTACAAATAAATTTTAAAATTTAATAAATTTTCCAAAATATTTTAATTCAAAAAATTCACTGTTTATTAAAAATAATACTTTTATGAAATTTTGTTATTCAATCGAAGAAACTTTTGCTTGTGCTTTTATATTTTAAAAAAATGCTAAAAAAATTGTTTTACTTGATATAAATACTTTAATGCAAAAAGAAAGTATAATATTCTCCTTTTCAGCAATAAAATATTCATTGGGAAAATAAAGGCAATACTATAACTAAAATAATATGATATCCAATGTGCACTAATCATTGAATTATAAATACACATACAGAACATTGAAATTGTGGACATATTTTTATATTTGAAAAGAAATATTAAAGAGGTTTTTATGCTAATTTTGATAAATTTCATTAACATTTATCAGCACAGAAATAACACTTACTCTGATTTGCATAATTTTTGCCATCCTTCATGATAGCGAACTGCATCATTTCTCAGGGTTTCAGGCTCTAGATCAGCTGCAGCTATAAACTAAAGGCAAGAGCAAATTTTGAAACCAGAAACAAGAAAATTTTGCTTACATTTCTGAAGAATTTTGAATTAAAAAGCACAGCAAAAATATATGAAATCGAAAATACTTAATTTGTTAAGACAAAAACCAATCAATTATAAATTTACTTACACTATCAATAATATTAATATTATTCCAGTTCAAAAAGCTAAAAAATAATTAAAGAATTAAACACACTTAAGTAAAGGTATACACAAATCTAAAATTAAGGAAACTTATACCTGTAAATTAAGCTTCAAGTTGCAGTGCATAGATGCATGATGCAATGATTTGATGACAGATGCATATGCATCCTCTAAGCCAGTATATTTCCCAACTAGTGCTATATTTACTTCTTGAACCAGACTATCAATTTTTTTAATGAGATTCTTCCATTGTTTAGAGCGATTTCGAACCTCATCTGAATGTTTCCGAACTGGAAGTTTTAGCCGTTCATGAAAAAACTTAACAAGTCCTTGTTCTTCAAGAAAAATTGGAACATGATATACTGACTTCACATCATGCAAGCAAACAACCTACAATGAATAAGATTCATAAACGGTTTTTTTAATTAAATCATATTTACATTTTAAACAAAGGTATATATAATTATTACTATTGAGATAAATAATAATTATTACTATTGAGATAAATATATTATTTACTATTATTTATTGAAAGTCATCAATAATCCTTCAAAATGATAAATAAATTTTCATGAAAAAAAAATGCTTTCAGAATACTACGTATACTTTAAAAAGCTTCTTCTTTCATTCAGTAGAAAATAAATTATGAAAAAAAAATGTCTTGCAAAATATATATAAAATAAACATGAGTTTAGAAATTTAAAAATTAAGATTAATTATTAAAATCATGCAGTATGCTGCAAAATCAATTAAATAACCAAGAGCTAATAAATAAATCAGAGAAGATGGCTGTCTCTCTCTCTCTCTCTTTCTCTGTGTATATATAATTTAAGTCCATTTACAGAAAATTCAAATCTTTGCTCATCAATTCCAAGTATCTAAAATTATTTATTACACTTCATTTTTAACACATTACTTTAACCCTATAAAGTTTAGTTGCAAAATAAATGTCAGTGGCATTTTTTTTTTTTGGCATATTTTTAAAAATTATGACATTTTGTGGATTATAAATAACTAAATATGATAAAAAAGACGAAAAGCTGCTTCACTTTTTTTGCAATATATTGACTCAGATTTTAAAATACATATTGTTAATCTATAAAGCTGAAAACTAAAATACACAATTATTTCATACATTTTCATTGAACATTGATATTGTCAAAATAACTCTGTAAATAATTATTCTTTTATCAAAGGATGGTAGGAAATATATATTATGTGATGTTTCTGACAAAATATACTCAAAGCATCACTTTACCAAAATGCTTACAAGTGCCTTAACATATTAACAATACAGAAAATCATTCTTTATTTCTCAAATGCAATTTGAAATTTTTTTTATTACCACTGGTTAAAAACACTTACCTCTTCTGGTGGAACATGGCAAAAATTTGAAATTTTTTGTTTCACATTTTCGTCAATTGGTTTTTCGCTTCTACAGACAATCTAAAACAAGACACAAAATAGGCTTAAAATATTTATTAATTATAATAAGCAGGAATTCAGTATTATAATTGAAAAAAGAAGTGAATAATTTTCAACTATAATACAGGAGAAGGTTACAAAGAGACCATGTAAATTTCTTGGAATTACAATTTTTTAATAAAAAATCTTACAAGCACAACATAAATAAGCTTCAAATTGAGATCAACTGGCTCCAGTTTTCACAACTTCACTAAAAATAATTTGCAAATGCACAAAGTACTTCAAATATCTGCTTTTCTAATGTTAATGAAATAGAAATTAATAAATCCTACAAAACAAATGTGCTTTAAGGATTAAATTATTTTACTTTGGAAGAGTTAAATTGCTAAAAACATATCTTTAAATATGCTAAGTAAAATATATTACATGCTGCTCTTAACTAAATAAAATGAAGAAAAAGAACGTGAAAATATCCTTTTTCATTACCAACTGTTACAAATTTGAAAGGTTTATATAAATGCTGTTATGAAAGAAAATTACTTTTACAGCTGCTTTTTACAATCTCTTCATTTCACTGCTCTTCCTTAAATGCAAAGAACAGAAAACATAAGTAGTATTTGAAGATTTAAATATTAGAAAATCATTTTAGAAACCTACTATTCTATTTTATATAATGCAAATACAGAACTCTTTACCAAAATTTGTTTCCTTTCATTTTTCATGTCTTTAAGCAGAGTAATAGAAAAAGGAGTTTAAGATGCTAAAAGTTTAAGAAAGTTTTAATATCCCCAACAGGTATAAAAACAATGTAAATGAAACAAATTTCTATAATACATTTAATTTCTATAATACATTACAAATTTCTATAATACTTTATATATTTTTTATATTTTTTATTTTTTGATTTGTTAATAATAACACTATTTAAATTAAAAATTTAGAAAACTTTATTGTCTCAGATTAGTTCATAATTCAAAAAAACATGCATCAAATCTAAGGTCAATTTACAATATCAAATCTAAGGTCTCATTTTTAGCAATGAGAGAAAATGTTTTAGAATTGGAGAAATGTGACAAATGTACACTGCTCAAAAAAAAAAAAAAAAAAAGGGACAGTCCTATATCTCCCGATCTACTGGGCCGATTGACAAAATTCAAATTGCGTTCTTCATGTCTTGAAAGCGTGACTTAGGATATATTTTAGATTTATATATAGCACTATTCTAACATAGGTATTTTGACACAAAATCGGACTTTTTCTGAAATTCAATTCTCAAATTCTGGTATCAATTTTTTTACATATTTCGATTCTACGACTCAAATTACGCCTAAATATGAAATTTTGTAGCATTTGGAGCGAAATTTACAGAGAAATTCCCAAATTTATGTTGGCACTTTTCTGTCATTTTGCGCCAAGAATACTTCACTTGGTGAACTTCTTAATATATGGCAACCTAGTTTCCTTTCCCGTGAGAGGAAAAAAAGTCACCATCGTTCCTTTTTTCCAAATAATATTCTTTATATTATATTTTTAATTATAACTTATTATTTTAAGTAATTTTTCTTTTTAGAATTTCATTTTAATTGTTTAAGTTGCACTTTTTTTTTTTTTTCGAATAACTGTTTTAAAAATTTCTATTTACCTATTCGAACTGCGTAAATAAAGGTGCAGCGTTCATTTTTTGTTTTCAAATACTTTTCTTTATATATATATTTTGTCGTAGTTATTATTTTAGGTAATTTTAAAATGTTTATTACTTTTATTTTCAATTGTTTGTATTGGCATTGTCTCTTCAGATAATTGTTTTAAAATTTTCTATTTATTCCTTTGAACTGAGCATTTTAAATATATTTATTAATATCAATTTTCCAGAATTTGATTTTATTTATTTGAACTGCGTTTCTTACGGAAGAATACTTTGTAACCCAGACTACGATGAGTTTGAAAACTGCATACTATATTAAAAGAGAAAATACAGTAAAGCACAGTTTTACACACCTTTCAATGTAACTTTGTAATGTAACTTTGTAACAATGTTACTTTGTAACCCAGACTACGATGAGTTTGAAAAAATGCATACTATATTAAAAGAGAAAATACAGTAAAGCACAGTTTACACGCCTTTCAATGCTCCGTTCAGAAAAAATATATAAATAAGAGAGATGTATAACCGACATTTTAACTTAGGATGACTTGCATACACTGCTTTAAACAGTTTTATCATTGTGCCCATGCTTTTTACACAATTTATCCTACATTGGTTTTTAAAATGTTATTCATATTTTAGTCAAATTATTTATTTTTGAAAATCGCAAGAATCAAATATCATAACATTGAAAAGTTTTAAATTTAAAAAAATACAAATACTAAATTTTACGAAAAAATTTATTTTCTTCTCCTTTCTTAAGCATTCTGAAAGTTATTAAAAAGTATCCAACTTTTCAAAACATTTTGGTATTTCTGACATATTTTTAAAATAAGTTATCGCCTACCATTTCATAAAGGCCCCAAAGGCCGAGTGGTTAAAGACGCTGATCACTGGTAGTTCGGTCCGAGGTTCGAATCCGCGAACGGCTGGTTGCATGGGTGTTTTCGTGGTTTTCCCGATGTGTAACATGTATAACGAGCCAGTTTTCCTTAGAAAGTCCCCCACGAAGGCTCCCTCCCTTTAGGCAGATAGCCCTCATTGCTTTGCCATAATTAAATAATCCAATCCAATCCAATCTAATCCTAATTAAATATAATTGATTTGTAACTTCTACAGAACTGACGTTAAGAAGTGAAGTGCAAATAAATATATCATGTGCAATCTTGATTAATATAAAATTAAAAATATTTGCACAGAAAAATATTTGCATTCAGACAGAAAGTTTTTTGAAATATTTGCAATTACTTTATAAGAAGGATTTATTAATAAACCGTAGTAATTACTTATTATATTATGATGATTAGGAATCAGTTCTTGACAATTACATTCTAAATTAGAATTTTAAGAATATTAGAATTTTAAATTAGAATAATGAAAATACGCTACGCACAAAAATACATTTAGATAAAAAAATGAGTTGATTTTTATGTTTTAAAACTTCTTGAATTCATTTAATATACATCGTATCCTGGTTGTTAATTGAATTCAGAATGTTGGGTGTCATTTATATAATTATTCTTACTTGTCCACGGAATCTGCTGACTTATCCAGCGATTAACAGCTGCAGATCATTTCTACATAACCATTGAACTTCCATTAATTCAGTCTCTAGAGGGTTGTATATTTATATCATAATTTGACTTTTATAAAAATGATTATTCTAAATCTTATTTTTCTATAAAAGTATACTGTGCTTTAAAAATATGGATGATAGTACCAGCCGCTCTTTCAGCCACTTCAAAAGCATCAGTTTGTTTAGAAATAAATTGTGCAGTTAATGTCATAAAATTCAAATAAACATCAAACGAAAATTCTCGATTTAAACGAAGTAAAGTAGCAGACAAAAACGCCGAAGGTAAAAATTACTCTTACAAAATTACTCTTATAAAAAAAAAAAAAAAAAAAAAAAAAAAGATAGAGAGAAATTTAAAAAAAATATTAAAAAATTATTTAAAAAATAGTTTTCATATAATATTAATAAATATTTATTACGCACCATTGAGGGAAAAAATGTCATATAATAAATTCTCCGTAAAATTTTACTTGAAATTTAAGGTTAAAAATAGCTGTGGCAATACAGTGTCACAAAAATCCATCGACCACATTTGGCATTATTATCGCTCAAAAAAATGATGCCAAATTTCAAAACGCGAAAATATGTAAATTTGTGTATATCTTAGAAAATTTTGAATAAAAAAGGCTAATTTTTTGCAGATATGCTTAAAAATATACCTATTTTAAGATGATGGTAAAAAATTTATAGGTTATAATTCAAATTTTTCGAAAAATTTATAATTATTTAAAAATAGAAATTTAAAAATAAAACACAAAATAGGTAAATTTATTTGGAATGAACCTAAATTTTGAAATGTGAGAGAAAAAATCAAAAAAGTTTAATAAAAAAAGAATTAAACATGAGGAGCTAAAATTTTGAGAGCTAATATTTCAAAAACTACTCATACGATTTTTACAAAACTTGGTATTCTGGCATAATTTGAGTCGTAGAATCGAAATATGTGTAAAAAAATGGTATGTTATTTCAGAAAAAAGTCCGATTTTGTGTCAAAATACCTATGTTAGAATAGTGCTATATATAAATCTAATATATATCCTAAGTCGCGCTTTCGAGGCATGAAGAACGCAATTTGAATTTCGTGAATCGCCCCAGTAGAACGGGAGATATAGCACTGTCCCATTTTTTTTTTTTTAGCAGTGTACACAAGCAAAAATTAATAAAGTTTTGCATATTTATACTATATGTCAGGAGAAATCTTATTCAAATTATATCTTTCATTTTACTCACCACATCTGGAGAAAGACCAAGACCCCGTAATTCTCGAACGCTTGCTTGAGTTGGTTTAGTTTTATGTTCACCAGTTGTTCTAGGCTAAAAACACAATAATCAGAAATTAAATTAGTAAGCTCTGTTTCCAATTTATTTTGAATACATAAAATAATTGGTACTTCTCTGTTAAAAGCAGCTCCAATCCTATTTGGCAATTTTAGATTTGCACAAGATCTCAGCTATACTTTTGCCAAACTCATGAAGTAAGTGCAAATGTAAAAATAAACAACACAATATATAATAATACTCATATGCTATTTCGTAAGAATATTTTTAAGAGTCCTTATCATTATTATGATGCATGTAATTGTTCCAGTCACTTTTATACATATTAAGCTCTTTATTACACCTTGTCATGGATGTCAACTCCTCTTATAAATCCAATAGTGGTGATGAACAATATTCTGGCATGGAGGCCCTTCTTTTCAAAATTTTTAACATTGCATTTACATATGGTTTTGTCATTAACAAAGTTTCAGGCTGTGGTCATTTTCGCATACTCATTTGTTAGATAAAAGACCTCTTTCATGAAAAATGATATGGCGTCCACCTTATTACTTGGCAAAATTAAAGACTGGTAACATCATATTCACAAAAAAGATTTAAAAAAAAAAAAGAGAGGAAAAATATTTTTAATAAACAAATGCGAATTCAAAAAACTCATTAAAAATGAGCAATATAAGAACTTGTGGAGATAGCAAGAAAAAAAACATGGTGTTAATATATGATTATGTAGCGAGGTACAAGAACATGCAGCCAAATTTTGGCTAGATATCTCAGGAGCCACTATAACAAAGTACCAAATAGTTAAATTTATAAAGCCTTAAAACTGTTTTAATAACTTCAAAATAAAAATATCCGTAGAAATCTAAGCAGAATATTATACAACAATAAAATTGTAACTGCATAAACAATTATTAAATGAGACTTTTTTTAACTGTTACACGCTTCAATGCTCTTAACATTTTTAAAAGTAAATAATGAATCTGTTTTTTAAGCCTTATCATCTCTAATAACAAGTAAGCTTCAAACTGTGGATTAGGATTTAATTTTTCTTTAACAACCAAAAAAATTCTTTTTAATTATTGTTGTTATTATTAGCAAGTATTTAAAAGCATTGTGTTTCCCAGAACAATAATGGTTTTGCAACTGCAAATATAAAAATACATTGGTGAAATAAATTAAGAGAATTTGAATATTTTATCGAATTGCAGGAAAAGAACTGATCTGAAGGAAAAATCACTGCTTCTAGATAAAAATGTAAATCTTGTACGGCAAATACGTAAGCATACACATGTGTGTAGGCGGAGCCAGCAGAAAAAAGGCTTTATAAGCGCGTGGAGGGTAAGACAAATTGCATTCGCTAGCACACCTAGGCGAATTTCTTGTTTTTATCTTGCAGCAATTTTTAAATTCACATCGGAACAGTATAATTGAGTAACCACCAACGTTTAGATGATGGAATGAGGAGGCGAATTGTGGGGAGGCTAGGAGGCCGGCCAATCGCAAGTCCAGATATGAAGAGTTTACTTTAACGCCCAGAGTCATGTGTAACCTATGGAAACAGTTCCAGGATTACTGGATCCATCGAGAGAAGCCTGGGCAAGGTGTCAAGAGCCACGCGGCTAGAGTGGACAGGAGAGTCGATTGCATGTGCAGGCAGATGTGAATGGAGAACAAGCAATGGCGACCATTCGGACACCGAAAACCGGTTAAGCCTAACACAATTCTCACGTACTTCATATGGAGAGAGCCAAGGACACGCTACCTACCTCCAATGTCGAAAATCAAAATTATGGCGGGGTGTGTATGGTGGGCAGGCATAGTTGTGTGAACACCTCTGCAGTCTTGACAGAGACTTGCGAATGGTGTGAGTATAGGGATGTTTGTCTTTCCGAGCAATGGGCCCCGAGTCATCTTACAGGACAATAATGTGAGCCACATAGAGCTTTTGGTCGAGAATTTCCAAAAGCGAGGACATTCCAGAGGATTGGCAAACCCAGTCTCAGATCTCAACCCTATAGAGCAGTTGGAAGCTCTGGGGAGGCAAATGCAATTGCAAACCCCTAGACCATACACAAAGAAACGCAGTGCGAAGGAGTGGGACAATGCCACAGGCACTGTAACGCTTATTCCAGTATGACACACGCAGGCTGTATGGCTAGAGGTGACCATTACCCTATTACCCATCTTTTGTTCCTGCAACAGTATTCAGGCCTCAGATCCATGAGTGTAAACGAACATGTGTCATTTAATGTTGAAATGTTATTGTTTTTTTGTATTTATTTGTGTCAACCTATGTTCACACCAAATTTATAAAATGCCGTAGTTCGGAGAAGATCAAATATGAAAATTCTCTTAATTTATTTCACCAGTGTATATCAACATGAGAAAACCATTTAAGATGAGAATGATAAAGACAAACTGACATCCTTAAAATGATGAGATATGTTGGAATATTCATTTAATATAAACAATAAGCATCATTTATTTGCTGTTCAATATCACCCAGAGATATTATAATGTGAAATTAGCTGTAGATTTACATCATATTAGACATATGATAAACATTTTAGCCATAAACTCTTCTAGAGTGAATTTAAACTCTTCTAGAGTGATAAATGAACTCCAAAGTAAACCCCGTGGTCATTCTTAGGGATAACGTACATCATTTTAACAATTTTTTAAATCAATTTTTAATTTTAAAAATATTAAAATTCACATAAGATGTTAGTTTTACAAAACCTATGACAGCAATGCTTTTGCATCCCTATACAGTCAAAAGTCGTTAATTTGGGCACCCATAATCCAAAATGATCTATAATCCGGACCTCAAAGCTATAAACTTTCTGTGCATGCGTCGTTTTGACGTAGCAAGACCTTTACGGCTGCGAATATGCGTGTGCGCATGCGCATAATACGTTTACGCATGCGCGTTTAACGATAACGGGTATAAGCTGAGCTAAAATATCTAATTCAGTTAATGTTGCAGATTGCGTTGTTCCTTAATCTTCGAATTGGATCGGCTTATTTTTTTGCAGACTGTTAGAGCAATTTTATAAAAGTAAGCTTGAACTTTCGATTATGTCAAAACGAATTTCCGATATATTTATAATAGACGGATCTACAAAGCAAAAGTATGTTCGAAGGTCCATTAAACAAAAAGTGGAATTGCGCAAAAATGGAAAAGGCATATTTGTTTCTTAACCATTCCGAAATCTGTTATCAATTTCATGCTGCTTGCGGGGGGATCGCAGCGCGCAATGAACTGGAAGTTGATTTGTCAGCACTATCCTTATTTCAGGGCAAATGTTTTTATTTTATTGGCTTAATTCCTTACAAACTGTCTTTATCTCAAGTATTCCGTCTTTGATATGATTAAATCAAAGTCCTGTCATTATAATCATCACAAAGTACAAATCAAATGTTGTATGGTTGCAATTTTCTAATTTCGACCTATTTAAGTATGCTTACGAACTTGTTGAAAGAAAGTTAATAAAGTAAACAAATAAATATAAGCTTTTTTTTTTTTTTTGTTGTGTTGTTACCCTTTAGATCATAATTGTTCTTTATTTCATAAATTACGGTTTCATATTTTTAATTTTATAAATTCTGCACGTCATCTGACCAGATTTAACTGATGATCTATAATCCGGAAAAATCTATAATCCAGAATCGACGAAGTCCTGACGAGTCCGGATTAACGACTTTTGACTGTATATATATATTTTTCAAATGCATTTCTTTCTTTCAAAAGCTTTAAATCTGATTTTCTATTTGATATACTAACAGGAAATCATACAAAGGATTACTACATATGTATTCCTTGAGAGTAAGATTTTTAATTTTCATACAAATGCAAATATTTCATTAATAGTACAGAACTAGGATTCAGTAGTTATGACATTGCATATTTCCTAAATATGAGGTATTTTTAAAATTAAATTACATAATTAATAACAATTTATACTATGTGACTTCAAAATATTTCAAAGAAACTGAATATGAAAAAGATACTGAAAAATAAAACAATTCCATATAAAGCTTTCATATCTCCTTATTGTTACAAATAACATTATTGTTAACAGTGCTAAGGTAGCAGACAGGTTTTAATTAAAAGAAAGTTTCAGAATTTACATGCTACATGTTTACTTCTCACAGACAATCTGCGAATGCATTATCCCCATGATTGCTTTTAATGCAACATCAAAATCATTTTCTTATCCTAAGCTGTGAGAATATATGCTTTCTTTCAGTTGAACTTTATCTCTAAATGCTTAATACTGTTTCTTTTGTGGCAATTTTTGCATATTGAAATACGAAGTGAAATGCCTCATTTTATGAAAGTATGATGTAACATTTTCCTCACTCCTTCATAAATCAAAAATAAATAAAAAATCAAAAAAGTTTCAGATTTTAACGGTCACCCAGAAGGCTTTAACTTTTTTACACTCTCCCTGAGCTCACAGTCTACCAATTTGCTGTTATACTCACTCCTATTAAACCCCCTAACCCCCTTTTTAGTCTTTTTAGCTGGATTATTAATCTTCATTTTCTTCCCACTAATATCATATACAATTCAACAGCAAAATTACCAGCAATACCAGTATACATTTAAAATTCCCGATGCAGGGTTAAATGCTGACATACATTTTTCTGATATTCTGATGACTATGGTCAATAGTGATTTACATCATTTTATAGTATGCTTATATTACAATCACAATGAGAAATTAGGGAATTCATATAAACATTCACAGAAAAACAATAAGTAGATCCAAAATGTTTCTAGCCTTATGTACTTCCAAAATAAATACAGAAAATTTTATTAGCTTATTTTTCAATATGATCTTCTTGTACTTCAATATGCTTTTGATGTCATTTAATAAGCAACTGAAAAGTAAGACAGTAAAAGTCCAG